CAGAAAGTCATCCCAGATATCCCCTTACAACAGCTGTTCTCTTGTCCTTTTAACACCCAAACACAACACACAATCTTTCACACACATGAACACACACACACGGTTGGATTACCAACAACTGGGACTGTCTTTCGCCTTGCTCAACTTGTGCATGAAAACAGCTAATATTCTACCAGGGAGTCAGGAATCACCCGGCAGCTACATCCTCTGAGAAATGAAGCAATTTAAAAGCACTACGCACCAAATGTGATATTCATGATTTGGATTCCAGCAGCAGCCGAGCAAAGCCGCCCTGTCATAACTGAGCAGACGTGATTCCCATTCAGACTGAGGGGAGGGGAGGCGAAGTAAAGAGCAGAGGTTTGCAGGAGAGGAGGATCCAGCTCTTGAGTATTGGTGGCCCGGATGGGAAATACAGAGAGAGAATATGTCAATTTGAACTCATCACATCCATCATCCACCTATCGACTCCACTCTTAATCCCTCTCACTGTCCCTGAGAGACAATCATGCAGCGAGGCAGTGGATCCACTTTTCTTTGTGGCTCTGGGGACAGCTCACCCATATCATCACAAAACAATATATATTTTCTCATTGGTTTGGCTTTACTACGCCGGTTCACTCTCATGGCTCTCATTAACCTCGTTTCCAGCAGCCGGCAGCTGTTTTCAGCTAAAAGCTTTTTATAAATCCTCTGTGTGCTACCTGCCCAGCAACAACGGGCAGACAGACAGAGTTAGCGATGAGCTGGTGAACATAGAGGAGCATTTAGCAGCTAACAAAACAGATATACTGTATGTACAGTTACAAGAGAGATTTGAATCGCATATTTTGCATTTGATTAGACCACTAAAAGGCATGTTTGTTATTTTGTTGAACAGGAAGAAACGATCATTGGATATTGATATAAAAATACAAAGAAATTGCTTTATTTTGGGGTTTCTTTGCATATAAAAAGGTGTACAATACTGGGGTTGTGATCTACAAGTGTTACATTTTTTCATTTAATCTCGACTTGAGGCTTTGTACAAGAGATTGCTTGCCAGCAAAATGTAAATAAGGGTATTCATAAGTATTTTAACAAATGGCCGATCATTTTGATTTAAAGTGAGGACAGTGTTGCCAAGCTAGCCACACAACTCTGTAAGCGTATGAAAAATGTTTTGTTCGCAAACTTTAGTGTGGCTCTAAGGTTTAACCTTGTGTTGAATGCACATGCTCCCAGAAAGTAGGTCTAATATTAAGAGAAATGACCCATGATAGATTCAGATAAAAGTGAGCTTGGCTTTAAGATAAGGCAATAAGACATGCAGATCAATGCCAGAGTGGAGCTTGTGCTGGAAAATCCGCAGGCTCATTGATCTGAGAGCATCAGAACAAGGCTACTGCAGCAGCCAGCAGGCACTCAGCAGGGTTACTCTGTAATGTATGCTAAGATGTATGTGCTATCTGTACGTCCCAGCATATGAGATTGCATGCATTCTGCGCTCCAGCTGGTACGAAGCCAGCAGGAGAAAAAACGAGGGCACAGAGGGGCGCAGTGGGAGTCACGGCCAGTGCGGAAAAAACATGCGGGTTGCCAGGTGGCATGTGGCACGTTAGGGTTTGTGTGCATTAGTGAGTGTTTTGTGTGTGTAAGAGCAAGAGCTTAAAATATCTGTGAGAGTGTGGGAGGCAGAGAAGCAGCAGAGAAGCACCTGCAGCTATATGAGAATCCTGGGATTTCCACCTTAGGCGATGGGATTGTTGGCTATCAGACACGCACGCGACTCTATGCACACAAACACACCACCTCCTCGCCTACGCTTATTGCCACACTTCTTGACTCCCACCATTCACATTCCCGTATTTGAACAAATATGGCAACCCCCCAGAGCGTAGACAGGAGGACCAAAGGACAGGGCGGACTGAACGGATGAGATGGTGGAGAAGAATGAGTTTCGATGAAGTGGAGATGGGGACAGTCAAAGAGGGAGAAGGAATAATGAGGTGGACAACGGTATCATTTGTAAGCTGGGCACAAGGAGGGAGGAAACACCCAACAATGGAGGCTGAGAGAGCAGGAGGTACAGTAGAGAGAAGCGTAGACAGCATTGCTGAAGGCTTCCCTCAGATCACACAAGCCCCTTAACAATCTTCCTCAGACTGAGCAACACAATTGCAACACTTCAAACTCTCCCTCTGAGAAGGTTGAGCTCACAGCAAAGCAGAAGTCTGCTCGGATGGAATCAACTTTTCAATCACATGCACTGTTTAAAGCTGAAGGCAGCCTTGCATTTGCATTCTTCAAATTATGCCACTGGAAGAGATGGGGAGTGTATGACGTGAGCGAGTGAGCATTTAATTGTTCATTTAAAGCTTTGCAAATGTTTTTTCTGCTTTCTTTCAATCAAGCAAAAACACCGATGAGCTGAGTAACAGCTGGAGATCCAGTACATGTACTCAGGGTTTACTTACTGGCTTCCTTCTGTCCGTACTTCACTTCCTAACAAAAGAACCTGTCCATGTTATTATTCCTAGCCCTAATACCTAATAATGGGCGTGGTGTTGGGTTATTTGAGATCCTCCAAGAGTTTTTTAAACTTTTTAATAAATGAGGCGGAACAGAAACGTGTCTGTCTCAAAGTCACACATCACTTCGCTTTACGCTAAGCTAACTTTATCCCGCTTAAAGAAGAAGTATGACCTTTTCTGGAAATGCTTCTTGCTTGCTTGATGAGAGTTAGACAAGAAGGTCAATACCGCTCTTATATTTGCATACTGAATATGAAAGTACCGCTAGCAGCCATGGTGACTTAGCTTAACACAAAGACCAAAAACTAAAAACTGTGAACAGGAAAGAAAATCCTGATTTGTGTCAATCGCAGGAAAAACAAAGTGTTACAAACGACAAAAGTCCCAAACTAACTTTTTCTTTGAGATGTGACAGGCCGTGCTCCCACACTTCCCCCAAAATCTCTAAGAAAGAGGAAGACACTTGTATCGTGCCACTCACTCTCTCAGGCGCCGGCTCAGTCAAAGGAGTAACCAAAAAAGGAGAATATTCTGGATAAATATACACACAACCCTCATTAGTAAGTTTGTGACATGTCCCTGTCATCCTCCCACTAATAGAAATGTATTACTCCCCCTGCGGCACTGACAGCACAGCGATACATCATCTTGTCTGACCAGGATCAATGCACTAAATGGAAATTACAAGGTTGCTTCACGTCTCCTGCTTTTCATGTGTCACTGCTTTTACATTAAGGAAATAAGACAGTGTACAGTACGCTCTCTCTCTCTCTCTCTCTCTCTCTCTCGAATTCTCTTCATATCTCTCTCATTGTTCATCATTCTGCAGAACTGTCAGGGGGCATGGTTGGCAAATCACGAAATCAACCCACTTATTGAATCCCCCTCTCTGACATTTATCTTGTACAACTCATATCTTCTGTGTGTGTTTGTCCGTGGGTGAATCCATAAGAAAGCAGTTGTTTTCTACTCCTACTATCCTTGCTAATGTGTGCTATTCCTGACCCACGCTCTTTAGGAATTATGTCTTAATGGCACGAATAATCAATCTGGATTAACAGAAACAATGCAAATGCAGCAGAGTGGAACAGACGGGGCTCAGCGCGGTGCGTTGTGTGTGTGTGTGTGTGTGTGTGTGTGTGTGTGTGTGTGTGTGTGTGTGTGTGCGACTCTGGCAGAGGTAATTCATGTGACCTTGATAGTGCCGAACAAACAGCATTCACCACCATGCAACATTCTGAAGCTGATACAGTGCATTTAAAAAGCATAGGATTTCATGTAAGAGAATTTACAGGCTACAGCTAATGTCTCCCTGTCTTTTATTCCCCCCCCCCCCCTGGCTATGTTCCTCCCAGTGTGACGTCCTTCAGTTTGAGTCTTAATGAGGAACAAGCTGCAGTCCGCACGAGCAAACCTCGATCGGAGGTGTTTTTGTTTTTTAATGTGACGATGTGAAAGTGCTGACATTTGTCTCGGAGTCAAAGATTTGCCTTTAGGAGTGTGTGCTTTTACAATGTCACCATGCTCTCCCGGGCACCTGTGAAATCGCATCCTCAGCAGAACAGATGCATTTAAAAAAAAAAAAAAAAAAATGCTCATTACACATTCAAAGTGTGGAAACAAAAGGAGCCACAGTGACCTCGCCGAAAAGGACAACAAATCTACAGGGACAAGTAAAGATGACGAAGATATTCAGCAACTTCTGTTTCCGTTACAACTCACCAAAAACACCTGAACTCCTCTGTTTAGTCCCACCCAGTGGTAACAGTCTACCATGGTGCAGAATTAACAATCCACAACTGTTTAAATGCCAGCCATGGGTACTCAAAATCAATATCTATTAAGCATTCAATTGATTAAACAGGACAACAACTGAGTGAATAATGTGGAAATAGAGGAAGAGCTTGAATTACCTGTCAGAAAATAAAGCCTCAGCTTTTCAGGGGATGTGAAGTTAATCAAAGGCAAATCCAGCACAGGCCTTACACAGCGTCTGTGATACGACTTTACAGTATCCTCTACTCAGCCACTTCATCAAATCTTTACTGTCTTGCTTCCCTCGAAAATGTTTCAAGAGCTGACACCCTGACGTGGGTGATAACATGCTGTGGCGTTGTGGCTGATGGCCCTCGAGGGTATCAAAGTGTTTTCTGGCCAAACACGTTTGGTATATTTAGACAAGAAAATGTGCACTGCAAATATCCATAGGGTCACTGAATGAAATATTGAGTCTTTAATTTGCTTTATGAGGCAGGAGATTAAGAAATACTGTCAATTGTTTGACGCGCTGTGTAGTTTCATGTCAATATAAGGTCACGTTGCAAACACTGAGATGAAAATTCAGCAAATTGAAGATGGTTTGCATACTATAGGAACATATATATATATATATATATATATATATATATATATATACTCATAATACACAGTAAATATCTCGTTAAGATGGAGTTTTGTTTTTTTTCACAAAACATGAAAGCTACTTACTCCGCTTTCCTTGCGAGTCCAACTGAGCGGCAGAGAGTGGTGGGAGTCTGCGGAACCAGGGACTTGCAGCAGGGGCTCCTCTTGTCCTCCTCGGCGGAGTCCGGGCTGCCTTGGCTCCCTTTGGGTGACTGCGGCGAGGTGGGGACGAGCTGCAGCTGCTGCGGGTGGTGGGAGGAAGGCGCAGGAGGGGTCGGATGCTGCTGAAGCTGGGCCGATAGACCGGGGATCTGCTGCTGCTGAAGCTGGGCCGATAGACCGGGGATCTGCTGCTGCGGAAGCTGGGCCGATAGACCGGGGATCTGCTGCTGTTGCTGCGGCGGCGGCGGCGGCTGCTGCTGCGCCTGCTGGCCGAGATGAGCCGCAGCTTTGTTGCTCCCCGGGTGCTGATGGAGGTTGGCCGGCGCCTGAGGACTGGCGCTGCGGTGAGTCGGGTGATGGTGGTGGTGGTGAAGCTGGGCGGGCTGCTGGACGTATTGATGGGGGTCCCGCAACTGTCGGTTCTCTCCTATCAGGTCCTCCACCTTCCGCTCGAGTTCGTCGATGCGTTGGCGCTGCGTCTGGATCAGGCTTTGCTGGTTCTGGACGATAGTGGTGAGCTCCTTCAGGTAAAGAACGGCTTTCATTGGATTATCCAACAGGCTCTCCATTACTGACTGTAAATGTGGCCGTGTGCCCGACTATGTGGACTTCTCCTTCAGCTGGTTCTGGCGCTGCAAAATGTCGATGGGGCCTCTGAACAGTGCGTAACCGGGATGCTCTGGCGGCCGTCTGACGCCTCTACGCTCTGCTGGGGTTGGGTAGTGTCTCTCTCTCTCTCTTTCTCTCTCTCTCTCTCTCTCTCTCTCTCTCTCTCTCTCTCTCTCTCTCTCTCTCTCTCTCTCTCTCTCTCTCTCTCTCTCTCTCTCTCTCTCTCTCTCTCCCCCTCTCTCTCTCTCTCTCTCTCTCTCTCTCTCTCTCTCTCTCTCTCTCTCTCTCGATACTTCGTGAGGATAACAGAAATGGTGCTGATGCAAAGGGGGATCAGCATCACCGGATTGCGGAGGCGGGGCCGTAGTGGACTGGTGATGTCAACACGCAGGGGGAAACAGTGAAGCTGTCATGCACGTTTCACACGTACATCCACAGTCTTTGCATCTCATTGGAATCCAACATTTGTGAACATGAGCTACTCCCTCTCAAAGCCAGAAACCAGAGATCGAAGTCTCAAACATGTTAAGGCATCAAAGTAAAGAGTCTAGAGCTGCTCTGGGAGAATGGTTTGGTGGACCCACATCATTTTTGTTTTCTTTTTTATATCCAAATGAACTTGATTATATTGTAATGTTCTCAGTTGTGAAACACACAATATGTGGGTGCTCTCCGTGTCATCTATAACACTGTCCCCAATTAATTGTCTAATCAGCAGTTAAAAATTGAGTTTTGGCACCACTAGCCCTGGTCACATGTATGGTATTTTAAAATGTCAAACATTTAATAATCCTACAGAGCAAAGCTCTGTATTTGGTTGTGTTTTCTGGATTTGCAGCTGGATTTGCAGTTTTTTTCTCTGCTGTCAAACATGTTTTTTTTCAATTGCTCTTGTTCTCAGGCTGCAGTGCGACGGGCTCTCAGCTCCACCGTACTGAGGCCTGTCCACAACATCTCATTGCTTGATATTGCTCCATTCAGAATTAGCATCTGGTGTTGTGGATGTGACTTCAGCATTCAAATGAAAGAAGCTTGAGCTCAGGACGTCCCTTTTTTCCATGTGAACGTGTGACGTGATTAGTATGGCCTGTGGTGCTCTTTTTGTCAAACAGCAGTCTTTGTGTGTTGCATGGTAGCATTTTTTGGGGGGATGTTGCCCTGCAGGGATAGAAAAGAATGGCATGGTTGAGAATGTAATAGCTTCCTCTTAATGATGCTCACTTAGCAGCACAGTATGAAAATGATTTGATGAAAAATGAATCTTTTTTTTTTCACTATTTTGCACATTCACACTCACCGGTTTTATTATGCAAAAAAATCATAAACGTTTCGGGGAAAAACTATAGTCTGCTCCTGCTATGTTGAGGGAGTGATATGATTTTTTTTGCAAATTGGATAAGGCAAAGGAGGCTGCCTTTTAGTCTGTGCCTCGGTATCTCTGACTTTACCAAAAGGGAAATAAAATACAAGTCAACCAGACAGATATATAGCATGCAAGCACAGCAAGGAAAGGAAATGGGTTTTAGGTTTGCAGAGATGATCCCTCCTGATACTGACTGAAGTGATATCTCACTGAGAGAGTGCTCCGCTCTTCTGGTTGTTGTAGTGTGATGCTTTTAAGATTTGCACTTTCATTCAGTTGTTGCATTGCAAATGTGCAGGAATCTTTACTCCTTGTGGTCTATTGTTAAGTGGATTATGTTTTTATGTGTAACGGGCCTCTGTGTGTGTAGGTGACAGAATGATTTACACTGTCAAGATGATCGAAAAGGAAAACTTACGTCACTTTTGTTAAAATCTTTTTGAAATCCAGAGGTTGCCCACATTCAGTAACTTACTGTGTCAGAGTCTAATGAAGGAAAGGACAATCTGCCATATTCATCCAGTACCGGAGGCGGCATTAACAATATGCTGTGATAAATGCTATAAAGATCGTTAAAAGTTTCATAAAACTTTTTTTAAAAACAGCTCAGAGGAAGTATTAACATCTTATGATCTTGAGACAGTGAAGTATGAGGACCACAGTGGTGAGCCAGAGCGGGTGCAGCCGGCTCCCTGCTTCCATACGGCTGCTTTATAACCTAGGGAAGTGAAAGATGGCTTGCTCACCCGACCAGCGACGTATGGCTGGAAGGAGACAAAAATGAGCTTTGCAGTGAGATTGAAAAAAAAAGGGAAATGGTGCCCAGCAGTGACTTTGGTGTTGGGTGACATCAGCAAGGTCCAGCTTTACTTATTGTGGACCTTCTGCTGGAAGAGGTGCAACTCACCTTTAACAATAATTACCTCACGGAGGGGTCTGCGGCATGAGAGGGTCACTCATACTTGATCTAAAATGACAAGGACGGAGCTCAAAGTGTGATGTTGTACTTGGGCACAGCATTGCCTTGAGCTAAATGCTAAATGTCAGCCTGGACCCCAACAACAATGCTAACATCCTGGTTTAAAGCAAAGATAATGTTCACCATGTTCTTAGTTTAGCTTGTTAGCATGCTGGAGTTTGTTAATTAACAAAGCATGAGGCTGATGGGAATGCTATTCGTTTTGCAGGTAATTCAAAGCATTGGACAAAGAGCAAAAGGATCACCAAACTTATATACAGATAATTCACTAAAATCCAAATATATCAACCTCCTTGTGATACAGCAAAGTCAGGGAATCACCAAAGTTATTACAATGTATCCTCCGGGCACCATTATTGTCATCGCAATCCATCAAATAGTTGGTGAGACATTTTAGTCTGGACCAAAGTGGTTTGACCGACAAACAGACAGAGCTGTACTGTCATCTCTAGAACATGGCTAAAAAAAGCAGACCAACCTCAGGTAAAATCTTTTTATTTCATCACATTTAAAAGCTGTACGACCTTAGAGAGATCAGTGATATTCCGATTCCTCACTCCTGAAAAATATTTTGAAAGTTTGAAAGTTGGCTGGCGTTAAAGTTTTGCCCGGTCTTCAGATCCTCATCCGTAACTTTTCATTTCAAAACTGTGTTATATCCATATAGGCTTTCTCCCCAGAGTCCTGTTTTGTCTCGAGTTTGTGCTAAGTTTAAAGTAGACCAGCTGTATTCCCACTCATTATTTAGCGGCGTTTGATGAAGAATCTAACACACACACACACACACACACACACACATAGACAGACTGAGTACACTGTCGTGAACACAAAGCAACATTCAGAGAAACCGAAAGTTGCATTTTGAAACAAAAGAGTTGAACAAACAAGGACTCCTGCCTTTGTTTTTCGAATAGCCATGGCAGTCAGCACCTGCATTCATATTCAAAAAGTTTCCATTTGAAGGGATGGCTGTCATTCATTCTAACCCTCCAGCATTTAAAGCGATTTCCTCGCTTTTTCCCGATCTTCCCGACTCGGCAATAAAAGAAAACTACTCCATTCTTTAGTTCTTTTTGGGGCAGCGCTTCTCATTAATATTGATAAGTGGCCCTTTGCATGCACCCGACTTGACTCAGAATACGAAAGAATTTATGCCCTAAGATGACTCAATGGTTATGGATGTTTTATGTGTCACCACTTTCCCTTTCGGCATGAAAAGTTTCAGGAAAAAAAAGGAAAAAGGAAAGATTTTGTTTTTAAGCTGTCACTGCCATCTTTTGCCCACAAATGATGCCAAAGAAGTCAAGCGAGTTCATGTCGTAAAACAGGGAGGGGAAAGTATAAATCTGATGGAAAGGAGAAAGGAATTTTCCAAGGACTTTGGAGCCTTAATGACATTAAGAGAGAAGTGATAAGAGCAGTCGACATGATAAAGCAATTCATGTCAGGTAGAGATTAATTACTCGAAACGCTCATTAGTGGCGGTGCCAGTTGAGATGTCACTGACACCATGAGCATCTGCACTTTAAATGGTTCAGCAAGTGGCAACAAGTACTGTTTACTATGTACACAGTATACAGCTGTTTTATAAAATAAAAATAAAAGATTATTCTAACACGGATTGAAGGTCATCTTGTATTATAAACACGACTGAGAGCCAAGCTCTGTGATGCTACCTGGACATAGCAGTGTTAAATGCACATGTTGGCAGGCTGTTATGCCAACTTGTCAATTTGCTTCAAGATTTCCATCTTTAATCCAGATAGTTAATCCAATAAGAGTGAGAGAAGCCCACACTGAAGGTTTAAAATACTGCACACGCATTTCATGAAGTTACACTGCTGAGGTGAGTTCAGGTAAAAGTCGTTTTACTTCATTGATTTTTCCTAGTATCTCTACACCAAGGAGGAGATGGAGATAAGAGAAGAGAACAGAAGCGGTGCAAGTCGATGGGTTATGAACAACAGGCTGCACCTAAAGATGTTCCTAATGTTGCGTGCATTCAGTTCAGTCAACAGTTAGTCGACACCACAAAGACTTCTTGAAGATTTGGACAATGTCTTAGCTGTTTGTCCAAACCTGAACCTCCGTGGCCGCTTTGGTGTTCAAAACCAATACCCATCAGCCCCCTCTGCCTCCCTATTGGCCCAGAGGAGATCAATAATGAGAAGGGAGCGAGGCCACGGCACCTACTGTAGATTCATTTACACCATTAGAGGTGATGGATGGAAATGTGTGGATGGAGCAGTGCTGGGGTTAAGATGCACATTGGCATGGCATTGAACTTTTGATGAAAAATGAGGAGATAAAATGTTCTTAACGGTCTTGATCAAGGATTTCAACACTTTCTTAGATTGGGTGAGAAGTAAGTGTTTTCAAAGAATTAATTGTGTGTGGCACACTGTTTAACACCCGAAAGAATCGTTGCGTTTTACCGCCTGTAAAAATGTATGCACCTATAAACACGTCTCAAGTAATGCTCGAGAGCTGCAGCTCACTCCCATATCGACTCACTTTCCCTTTGTAATTAGTATATTCCCTCTTGCAGAGTTCAGGGAGGTGGATATAAGGGGAACAAAGACAGACCAATGGCTGTCACAGGTGGGCGGGGTGAGGCCTGACCTGCTGTGAACCAACGCAGAAGCTGATGAAACAGCCCTGAAACCGCTTTTAGAAAAAGACACACAAACACAGAACATTCTCAAAGAGCTTCTCACTCTGGTCCACGTAATTGTGTCAACTCATACAACATGTAAAGTGTTTGACCTCATTCAAGTTAAAAAAAAAAAAAAAAAGATCATGGTTTGTATTCAAAAATATATATTACCAAGGTATAACATAGCGGATTTTCTTACAATGTCAACGTCAGCTGTCTTCTGGGTGATAGTCCAGTGTTTGTTTGACTCATCCACCACCCATCCGACTCACCTTTTTCTGGACTTTCTTGCTTGTTATACTCGTTATACACGTAACTTTCCTACCAAGTCATTTTCATTAACGGTCACTTCATATGCTACGTCACTTAATCTGACCGAATGCAAAAACGTAGACATTCAAGGTATCCGTGATTTGCAGAAATGGCCACTGCGAACATTTCTTTCCTGGTGAAAAACATTTTAGAAACCTGAGCTAATTTAATTCAACATTTAATAATGTGTTAACAGCTTTGCAAACATGTTTGTGTTCACTGGGCTCAATCTGCTGTCTTTTCTCAATGCATACTAAATGCCTAATACAGATTCATTGATACAGAAATGCCAAAAAATTAAATGTTCAGTTCAATTCAGTTCAAGTGAGGCGAAGTTAACCCTCAGACCTTTCAGTTGGGTCAAAAGGATTAGCAATGAATAATGTGCAAAGCGATGTGTGCCTTTATCGCTTTGTTTCAAGTCATTTCCATCTGCTGCTTGTGAATGTTTCATTGAGGTTGAAAAGAGATTCACCTCACGCTCCGAACCCAATTAACACCTTTTGACTGAAGGGAGCATATTGCAAAATATGTGTGAGTGTGTGTGTGTGCATGTATGTGTATGTGTGTTTCTTTCAGTTTAAACCCTTGAATCCACCAGTCTAATGCTATATTTAAAGCTCCTTTTCCCTGTCATTACCTCCAAATATAGACTAACATTTAGAAAAGAAACAGGATTTGCCTCAAGCTGCTTATTTGTCGCATCACCACAGAAAGCTGTAAACACATACAGTAGCTAGTTAGTGTGACATAAGGTCACAGACATGGGATTGTTACAGGAAGGTCGCCAGTTTGCAGCCTCTAACTAACAGAGGAATGTGTGGAGAAGTGGAGAAGTAAATGAATGACTCTTCCTATTGTCTTCTTGAAAAACAATATGTTTGAAGTGGTTATTCCTGTGCCAAGAGGTGTAGGAAATTCACGACACGCCTTCTCCTCAAATGAAAAGAAGGCTATTTACTCATGGAAAGGCAATATCCCAGAGCACAATATCAAAGACAAGAAAATTAAGAAAGGCAAATATTTTAAGACCCGTTGATAGACACCAGATATGTATAAGGAGAAAACGTGTAACACTGTGCAAATATATGATGTGAATTACGTGAATTTAATCCATATTGATTTGGACATGTCATCGTGACAGCAGGCCTTACCAATCCAATCACCTGCTCCTCCATCCGCCTGGCTGCACACCTGTTCCTCATTAGCCCATGTTTAATATTGATATATAAAGCCCCTCATGGATCAACTGGAAATAGAATTGTCATATAGCTGAAAGCAAGAAAAGTTGTCTACTTCCACCTCAGCCAAGAGTTATTTTTTTGCTTGCCTGTCACAGTGCTCCAGACATGTGTGTCTACCTAACCTCTCTTTTGAACTCTTTAAAAGGAGTTACTTGAGTTTTTAAAATCTGCTGCACTAAAAACAAGTTTAGTGCAGTGGCATTGTTTTGGGGGGAGTGGGGTTGCGAGAGTGCATACAAAAAGGAATGTTACATTCTTGTGTACCATGTTTGTGATATTGGCTCAGGATCACTTAGACTAATTCTGACTCTCGCTGAAGGACATTTTGACAAGATGACAACATTAGCTGCTGCACGAACTGAGCCTGGAGCTCCCAGTCTCAGGACAGCCTGTCTAATCTCTGTTACTGTCAAATATATTCCAATACTGTCAAACCCCCCCCCCCCCCCCCCAGTCCCTGCAGCAATAAATACACTAGTCAAGTTGTATACCGAAGATTAATGACATCAATCACGCTTCCTCATCAAGCCACACAAACACACAAGAATACGTTGCGAACATTGTAATCTGTTTTCTTCGCAGACTAACACACATTTGTCTTTTCCTTTGGGTTATTCCATGAGTGAAATGAACTGGCGCTGCTTACAGCCAATGCAGTAATTATTTATTGTCAGGCTCCACTTCTTCCGTCTTACAACTTGTGGAAATGATGGTTTCTTGTCTCCTCCAAGACAGCAGAGTCACAGTTTTTAAACATGAAGGAATAGAGGGAAGGAGTTTTGTTAAGTTTAGTCGAGTGGATTTTATTTACATAGCTCAAAATCATGGATCAGAGACTTAGAGCAACTTCCAGGATCTGTGTTTTGCTCTCAAGCAAGCGATAATTGACTCAACTTTCTTCCTATAAACATAGAATCCAGGTTTTTCCACTGCCAATGTTTTTAATATCAAGTGTGACACAGTTCCTCAAAGGTGCTAAAATAGAAATGCAGAGCACGATTGAAGAATGGCCTCCACACGGTAATCAGCATTACTAGTAGCTAGTAGCTAACAGTGCTAACAATGCAAACAATGGCAACAGTGCTGACAGTGCTAACCTGAAGGGGAACCGGATGGTGGCCGTTCAGCGGTAATCACCGTATGAGCGCAGTGCAGATCGCCGGAAAATAGCGAGCCAGTTAAGCACACACACTGGGACTCACATGGAGCTTTTATGATGTTTTCTACAATAACAAAATATACAAATGAATAATCTTTTGAATGGTTCTCTTCTAATATTCAACTTGCTTTCTTTTCGGACAGCCCAGTTTTTTGAGTGATAATAAAATGATAATCTTAAAGTTAAAGACAAATCATTTTATGAATTCCTTTAGCTCAACACAGTTTTTTCAGCTAACTGTTTCAGTAATAATGACTGTAGATGTACTGTACACCTTTGATTGTGGACTGCCACCAAGTGGCACTGACAATGAAGCACATAAGCACATGACACCATGTGGTGTTTACAAGAAAAACCTCTGGATAGCACATCTGGAGCATTTGTAGTATGTGAAGGTTGCCCTCATCAGTGCCTATTTATAGATCGAGGCCTGAGTGCAAGAGGTCATATATCAGCTTTTTAACACGACTAAACACATACACATATAGTGGCGGTTGATGATGGGACACACGGAGAAAGGATGTGACTTTTCACCATCCAGGTTTCACACAATCATCAGATATTTGTAAGTGGTGTCTGGCATGTGTGAGATATGTGTATCAGCTGTCCATAACCAGCCCATAAAAGCATACAATACACCAACTGGAGCTATTGTTGGTGTTGCTGTCATACTTCAAATAACAATGGCTGGGTGACAACAGCCAGTCAACTCACACAGACAGAAGGAGCACATGCATGCATGCAATGTGTGAGACAACAATGCCAGAGGGTTTCGCTTTCCAAGGCTAGGAGTTATGGACGACAGCATCGTGGCTAAGTTCCAGAGTCTGAGATTCAAGTCATGTCTCCTGTGGTTTATTCCTATCATCTAAAAATATAACTTATCAAGGAGTACTGAAGCAGCAGTAGTTCTTTTAAACTTCTAACGTTTTTTTATTTGAATGGACACCATTTTTCTTTGTTCAAAATGTGCAACAATCTGGAAAAAGTAACCGTCTCCCTCATTATTTATGACTTGCGTTTGTCAGTTTTACTTTCAATATTCTTTCTCTTCTTTTATGGCTGTGTCTGCAAGATCTATATTTAAACATTATGAGGTTGAATTTAGGTAGGTGACATCTGTTGCTCCCCCTTCTCTTGACTTATCGTCTTCCTTTTTAATCCATCATGAGTCAAGCTGCTTTCCATCATCTCAACGTGCCGCACATAAACCGACAGGCGCCAGTAAAGTAAAACATGATAAAGTCAAGTATGGCTATGGAACATTAAAGACCAAAACTTTATTCAAATCCATTTAAATTGTCTAAAGATGGCATAACAAAACAACAATAATGTACTTTTGTAAAAAACAACAAAACAATGGGTTTCTACTCATTGCAGAGAAAATGCCCATCTAGCAAATGGAGGCACAGCAAATGTACTAGTGGTTGTACGTGCTTATGACCGTTGATTCCTACAGCTTTCAAGTCCTTTAGCCTTCTTATAACTATTCCATACTTCTGTCTAGACTACTCTCCTTTTCCCTGTTATAGTCAACCAGCTTCATCGTTTGCAGGACTCCTCACAAAGTATCTCACTGCGCTCCTCCGGCTGTATCGAACATCTTCTTGCGGCCCTCCATGCCTGACATGGCCTCCACGTTCTTACGCCAGTCACCCACTTCAGAAGTGAGCACCTGGGGTTCAAAAGAAACAAAAAAAACGAACTTAAAACACATCATCTCCCTGAGACAAGTTTCTGTTTCTTTCCGACATACTGCCCTGCAGGCTTAATGTTTGGTAGTCTGGACACCATTACCTTGTCCTGTTTGACGTCCTCCTTCTTTACAGACTTGAGGTTGGATCTGAGGTCCATCGAGCCCTTGTGTTTGGAGCCCAGGAGAGCCCTCATCATCTCATCTGCCGACACCCTCACCTTCCTCAGGGCAGGCTTTTTGAACTTGCCTCCAAGGTCCTGTATCTTCAGCTTCAGCTCATGGATCTAAAAAATACGAAAGAAAATGAAATGAACTTTTTTTTAAAAGATATGAATGTGCTAATACTGGAGCACTGAATAAGGAGAGTGTTCACTTACATCTTTGTTGTGTTTGCCCACTTTGGATTCGCAGTCATATCGCTCCTCGTCCACAATATCAATTTTTGTATGAAGCTGCCTGCATATTTTCTGAGGAGAGTTTTAAACATATCACTCAAGCATGGACTTACATTCCCTTCTGTAGAAAAAGCTGTTCTTTTTTTATGGTGTATGACCCTTACTTGTAGTTCATCCAGTGATAAACCAGACAGTTGCAAAGGGGGCAAATGTTCTCCTATATAACGCACTTTCTCCTCCTCTCTCTCCTGCCTCTCCCTCTCCAGATCCTCACAGGCTCTTGTGAGGAGAAGCATCTGATAGGACAAAACAGATTTAAAACTTTGGTCTCTTCATGTGAAAGTACTCAACAGAAACCAAGTTGCCAGAGTAAATTTACAACGTTATATGTCAAAAGGTGGTACGTATATACAGTATCACAATATCTTGTGGCAATATAGCAGGTTGGTGTACATCAAACAAAAGAGTTTATCATAACTCACCTTGAGAGAGAGCTTGCGAGAAGCTGTAATCTTCGACTTCGGCTGTGGAGAAAGAGATTTTAAACAGGCACATTATACCAAGAATGAGCAAAATTACAAGTACATCTTGCACTATAATATAAACGGGAGAAAATATAGTTTTTGAGGACTTCTATTTTGGAATTACTCTGAGAGGTTGCTGCTAGCTCATCAACTGCTCCATATACAGTAAAAACACGTATATGGAAAGTCAAATACGCCACCACTTACTGCAGCCGCATGTGAAAAGATAATGCTTTATTATTAGGATGAGGTCAAGGGGAAAGCTCTCATTGATGCTGATAACAACTCCGGCCAGATAAGCACTAGCTGATCTTTGCCGTGTGCAACGGGACAACGTGTCCCCTCTCCATACACGGAGGATTAACACTGTGGAATATAGCCTGCTCACCTTATCCCCTTTAGGATTCATGGCTCTGGGTCTGTCGGGATGCTGAAACCCAAAACGAGGACAAATGAATGTGATGATGCTATATGCTAATAGGTTTAGATGAGAACATGAAGACTCTTTTTCTCTATTTCAATAGTAATCAAAGCAGTCAATGAAATAAATATGAACAATGACAGTAGCATTCAGGGATAGAGGTTTCATTTTCTTACCTCACTTCAAGTATTATCACAAAAACAAACAACACATGAGAGAAACAGATATTAGTACAGTTTAGGGGTAATATGTCGCCCCAGTGAATCACAATGTAATTTGACCCATCAAGGCGCCACAGAGCAAACAGTCCTCACCCTTTGACAGGAGGATTAAAGCAAGGACATGGCGAGAACAATTCCCTTTACTATATTCAGCATCATCTTGTTTTTCACTGTGACTATACTGACACCTCAAGAGATTTGTTAAAAAGCTCTCGATCAAAGAAAACAAAACCGTGACCACTGTAGTTACAAGTAGAAGATCTGGCAATTCAAATTCTCATTATGCTGACATATATTTTACAAAGATCTAGCAATTAGATAATACACTTGACAAAGAAAACTGTAAAACTGTTAAAACACTGTCTATAATAACAGCTCTACCGGACAAACTCTGTCAGACTTTAATGTACGTGAACAAGAGCAAAAAAATTACAAATCATTATACAAAATTCTAATTTAAACCACACAAAATGTGAGGGATTCACTGAAAGACCTAAAGACTTAAAACTCACTATAAAGCAATGGTTGTTTTACCTGCAAATGGGTGTCTATAACGATGAGAGTCAAACGGTGGCCGCTGGAGACAATGGGCAGCTTTTTATGTGAGCCGTGAGGACAGCAGATGTAACGTCTGCTCCCAAGAATGTGCTGGCACGAGACCAAGCATGAAAGATCACCTGACACTGCAACAACACCAGGGGAGGGTAATAATAAGTCTTGAGCATTACCTTAATGGTATCGGTTAGATATTTACTCCTGTAGCGCGAAATAATCATGAATATTGACAAGCTGTATCTTTCACATTTAGGAGTAAAGGAAATGTTTGAAAATCTTATTTCCTTTCTTGCCAAGAGTTGATGAACTATATAGCTGGTTAGCTTAGCTTAGCTTAGCATAAAGACTGGAAGCAGGGGGAAACAGCTAATGAACATGTGCGTACAAAAACCAAAGTGTAAAAATAGTCAATTCATCATTTTATGGGAGGTTATGTGCGGGACTATTTCTTGGGCAGGACCAGTGGTTATAGGCAACGAGCTGTCATTTTGACTTTGTTTTTGTACCGATTAAAAAAGTATAAACTGTGCTTTAAACAAAACATGGCATTTGAGTAATCACATTCATGACTTAGAAGTAAGAGGAATAGTGACTCATACATCGGAAAGAGTTCAAACTCAGTAACATTTTACGAGTACAATACACACCCAGATAACAGGCATAGCAAAAATACAATCATATTCTAAGAATAGGTCAGGCCCCTCTCCCATCACAGGCTGCTTTTAACTATCGACGCACAACATTAGATTTAAAGAAACAATTCAGTCAAACTAAATATTGTTCTGGGTATTTAGTCAAACATGTCCTCCTGTACAAAGGTTAATGTGTACATTACCACTGATTTATCCGAGGGGCAAGTGCAGTCAAGGTTAAACAGCAGGGATTACTTCCATTGACATTTGATCTTTTTCTAATCACTGTTATTATGATGAAAATACTTGTTGGTGTAATTATACAGCATCACAAAATAACGAGAGGTTGTTCCATGTTTGTCGGATGAGGAGTAGGTGGAATAGCAGGTTTGAATAGCTGCTATTGTGAAGATATATAATTTATTGTCTCAACGTTCTCAGATTGTAAACAGAAAAGGAAAGAAGATGAGACACAGGGCAGTCTGTCAAAATCATGTAGCATGGAAACACTTGCTACAGATACAGCACCAAAGGAAAAATGTGAAAAGGTTGGAAAACTAATGTTATTACATCAGCCTTAGCTGTAAATATTAGCATGCTAACATGCTAAACTGAGTCACTGCAGTTGACTTTGACTCTTTGTCCTGTGTGTTTGTATTTACATCTGCTGTCAACAATTTCTTGGCCTGACTTTATCAGGATTTCAGAGCTAATCGTGGCCTGAGCTCTGACACTTCTTGCAAATCACTTGGCCCCCGAAGCATCAAGTTGCTCTTCTTTCCACCGGCTCACACTGGAATAAAGCTGATGCAAGTGCTAAGGTGTTTTTGGTAAACAGGGCATCAGCAACAAGGACACCTTCGGAAGAGTCGAAAGTCTACGCTGAGCCTTTGTTATCTGTGAGTTGTGACGGCTTCTCAGCAATTAGGGTGAAAAGGAAGGAGAAGATTTGTCTGCATATTAAATATCTCATTCCTTTTGTCATGTCCCCCCATACACAGATCTAATACATGGTTGTAAATTACACGTAAAAAAATATGTAATTATAAAATATGTGATATAAATGTTCATACATTTGATAAGAGAGCCATATTTAATATAGACTATATAAATAATCATATTAGGTATCACTATTTAATTTTATTAATTATTCATATCCCAAAATATCTTCTTTGTCAATGCATCAGGCTTCAACATATACAAACACAGTATTGTACACGTATAATAGGTCTGTATATTGAAATTACAATCATGAAATTCAATGAATGTGATTTTTTTCCTTTGTAAATAATGCGATAAGAAAGGTAGACATGCGCCTAGGAAACAATCTCATAATAGGTGCATGTATTATACAAACAGTGACATTAAATTGTAACACTACAAGCCTCTGAGCATCCAAATTCATTTCCCTAGTTTCCCAGGGCACACTTGCAGATATATAATCTGTCTAACATTTGCAATCAAAGTTGCTGTTAAATGCTACCGTGTAAAACACTGAGCGCTGTGGCTTCCTGCCACTAATACCAGAGGAGGAACTGGAGCTGAAGAAGAGACAATGCCTCAGTGAGCAATGAGGGCCAATAAAAGGAGCAAGACGCGGGGGACAACAAATGTTCTGTCATCATTTCTTTTTTTCCCGTGATCCTCAGCAGGTGGGAGCTCTATTTCTGCTGCAACCCAACTCCCCCCCCCGTCTCCACACAGACACACACAAAGTAAAACACAGGGAGGCCTTGGTAGCAGGGACATGCACTTTCTGCTACCGTTGCTTTCGTAAATAGGTAGCTGACAGCTCAATGTGTCACCCCGCACATAACAGTTTGACTCGTTTTGAAGCTTTGGGGTGGAAAGAAAGAAAAGGGAACAATGCCAATACAGCTGCATTATTCTCTGAGGCAGGATGTCGATGGGTGATCGTCAAGGATTTCACCTCCTCACGTGCTCTTTGAAAGTGTTGTATGTTCTGTCAGTTGTCTGTCCATCGGAACCCACTGCCACGACAGAGCCAGTTCAGTCATGAGATGACGAGGTGTTAACTTAACTCGACATCACTGTGTATTGTACTGAACACTAAACCATCAATGTGTCAGGGACACTGACTTTTCATATACGCGGTGGAAAGTACATTTGCTCGCATACAGGACCAAAGTGCAATTTTGAGGTACTTTGTTTGAGTATTCCCATTTTATGTTACTTTATACTTCTTCTCCATGACAATTCAGGAGGAAATATTGTACTTTTTACTTCACTCCATTTCTTTGACAGCTCTACGGTTACTAATTCAGAAACAATCATCAGTTTATTGTATATGACGCATGTTCCACCTCGACCAGATACAAAAGTAAAATGCTACTTAAAATGCATAATCCATAATACAGAATATCCTTCATAGGGGCCAGTAGTTTTACTATTAATACTTTAAGTATGTTATGACTGGTGATGGAGTATTTCTAAACTGCAGTATACTTTCATTTGAGTAAAGGATGTGAATACCTCTTGATATTTATCAATGCTGTCCATCTTACTGTATCTCTGCACCCCTCTCTGCCTCCACACACGTTCTGGATCTTGTGCAGGCCTCTGTAGTGGCACCGTCGTCCGGAAACAGGGCAGAGGGGGCAGCTGACGCAGGACTTCAGCCAAGTGGCCTGCCATGACATCCCTCTGCCCCATGTTCTAACCTTGACACTGTCCTCGGAGTTTCCCAACACGGGGAAGCGGGTGCCCTGAGTAGCCAGGATCTCTCAGCTACCCGCACTTTCACCTTCTTGTCTATCCAGATGAAAGGGGTAGGTGGGCAGTGAGATGACTGCAGGAGGATTATTGTTATTATGTACTTGGTTGTAGTAGCCTTACGGGTGATTAAAATACATTTATTTTTATTCTTGTGTTGTTTAAATGTGCTTTCTTCATGTTTTTGTGCAGTGTTTTTCAAATGTGTATTTTATTTATTTATTTATCTTTTGTTTGTTTGTTTACTTATTTTAAAAGTAAATGTATTCATTGTATTTATTTATTTTATTGTTATTTTATTAATCTAGTTTTTATGTCAAGCTGTTTTACTTCTATTACAAAAAAAAACAATTACTTGAAATGCCTCTAACCACACGTGATTTCTTTTTTTTAATGGAACGTAAGGCAACTGCAATTCAGTATAGACTTTGTCCACAGGAGGGGAGCAGAGGTTTATTATTTTACACATCGCTGCAGCTAATGGTGTGCAGGAAACATCGTCTCAATCAATCATCTTAAAGCCTTTTCCCTTCAGTGCAGACAAAGTCCAGCAGGGGGCGGCAGCGCTTCACATCACAGATCTCAGCGGGAGGCTTTCATTAGGACATTCACTTTCAGCCTCCAGTGTCAAGCTACCGGGAATGAAAACAGGACAATGAAGCAGGACTTTCAAAATAATACCCACGCTAACGAGTTGTTTAGTTATAGCAAATTGAAGTAACTGTTTATCTGCAGTGGGGAAATTAACAGTTTGTAATTGTCTGAGAGTTCAACCCCCAAAAAAAGCCTTTTTTAATTATGATACTGAGGTGTCCCTTTAGTCCTAGACAGTTTATGAGATAATGGACCTCTGAGCAGAGACATAAAGGGCCCCTCTCTTACCTATTTGAAAAAGGAAATAAGGAAAAGATATTAAACAAAAATGAAAGGACTCAAGACATGGCCCAGTAGGCCAGTTTATTAATCTATCCATGCTTTTTGCACAAAAGAGGCTAGATGCATTTGCAAGCACATGTATTAGTGTATCCTCTACTTTATAAATATCTATTTAAATCAATTGTTGTTGAACAAGCATTTGTAAAAATTTGAACTTCAGTGTCTTCAGTAACTATTCAAGATGTCACATTTACCTCCTCAACCCAATGGACCATACTAGGGCATACAGTCTCCCATACTCCTTATTTCCATTATCAGCTGGTGTGGATGCTGAAATGTAGCTTTATCCTCAAACCTTTAGCATAATATAGCATCCTGTGCACATCTGGGACCATTTTGCAGCGCTCTGGAAATCAGCAGGAAATACCAACAAGTCAGCAGGAGACACGTTTTTAACTATGTTGAGAGAGATTTGGTGTTAGCATCGGCTTACGCTAGCTAGTCCACATGAGGAGTTGCTGTTTTAGTTGTTCTTTGTTTGCGTGCTTTTATTTTGAAGGTCCACTTCGGTTGTCATACGGTCCATTTCTGGCCAACTTGAAGCGCATCCAAGCGCACAAGGAGCACTTTGTCTCGGCGGAGGCGGGTGTTGACAGGAGAAAGAGGGGGCGGTGGGGGGAGACTAAATTGGACTGTCCCGGTTCACTTGCACCGCAGACCCTGCAGCAGGACGAGGACAGCGGAGGCCCCGAGGACAGGACTGGAGGGCAGGAGAAAGAGGATCAACGTGGACCGGATCGGGTTAGGGGGGGGGCGGATTGGGATACAGAGGGCCACCGGGCGGGGAGGGGGGTCCGCATGATTCCTTACAACCAGGCTGTGATGATGGTGGAGATGCACCGAAATCAGTGCGGCGGATTCCTGCAGAGCCCGACACTCTGCACCACAGCCCCGCAACCGAGTGTGAGCTGCTGCAGGGTTAGACGCTCCTGCTTCTCTCCAGCCCGAAGCTTGACACCCAACAACCGCCTACCTTGCGAGCTCCATTCATTCACGGAGATTTGCAGCGGGACGGAGAGACCAGCTCTGAGCCAGCTTTGAGTCTGCGTTCTACTGCACCCGGTCTTGATTTGCATGCACTGGTTGTTTTGATCCGTGCAATAGACAAGAGGAGGTGGGGAAGATGTTGGCGCGATGCTACCGGGGCAAGCTGTCGGTGTGGGCCGCTATGTGCGTGCTGGTGCTCTGCTGGTTCTACGTGTTCCCCTTCTACAGACTCCCACGCGACAAAGAAATAGTGGACGAGGTGCTGAGGCAGGGGCACGTATGGCAGAAGAACCAGACGGGCATCGATTTATACAGGTTCGTCTCAGGTCTCCGATTTCTGTCCATTGGTTTAAAGCAGTGTTTCCCAAACTATGGCCCGGTGCCCGCAGCTGTCCCTAGGCGGGCTCTAAGAAAATTGATTATATTTCCCTTTTTGTTTATGTTTTTTTTTTTAACCTTGCATCCACTTTAAAGGTAAATAATGCAAATCTATAATAAGTTATATTAAGCAGCAAACATAGGGGTTCTAGGGAATAATTCTTATCCCTGAGTGTCTGTGGCCTGACCTCCTTTGTCTGCATTAGAAGACTCTGAACAGATGGGCATAATGTCAATATGATCAGACTGTATATCTAATGGAAAGTGGTTGATATTAGTCTTTCATAAAATACCCCAATCTTTCAAAAATAACAACTGTTATTCGACCAAAAACATTCTTAAAAGCTTTGTATCTGTCAAAGCTTTGTGTGATATCCTACAGGAACATTACAGTAATGCAAAAGAGAGATACAAACATATCATAAACACTCTCTATCTACTACCACAAACGCTGTGTGGGTCTTTCATTTAGACAGTGACGCTGATTTTGAAAGCAAACCAGATGAACGGGCCACAGTAGTGGCAGCCTTGTTTAAATTCTTATTCAGTGGAGAATATGAGAATATTCTCCAGTGCAAAGCTGATGAGGATAACGAGAGCCGGTGACACCTGCAGAGCAGCGGACAGGGAGGATGTGATGCTCACTTGGAGACGTGGTTTTAAAGCCTGACAACTGTAAAGACCCCTGTTTGGTCATGAAATATTTAACATATTACTGAATCTCGCTATCCTTGAAACTCCAGACATATATAACCTAAAATATATGATGATTTCCTCTGATATACAGCACTGGACCGTACTCTGGTTCCTGTCCTGTCATATTAATACACATCTTACTGGGTATCGCTACGCAAATAATGAATCAATTATTAAAGCCTGTTTTTTCACAGCTGTCTTGTTGAATCCAATTTGAGTTAAACTGTCCAGACCAGCTTTATTATTTCCCACATCCTCTCTACACAGGAAGTTGCTGACAAAGTGCTGCGATCCGTGGAGGATGTTTGCGGTGACCAAGGAGAACTCGCCGATGGGCAAGGTCCTGTGGTACGATGGCGAGTTTTACCACTCGCACACTGTGAACAACGAGACTTACCCACTCCTTGTGAAGGTATGTTGGCAGAAAAACATTACTCTGAGATGCAGATGTGCTCTTGAAAAGGAACTAAGACCAGATTAAATTCAGTCTGGTCTAATGGAAATTGATTTCTCTCCCACTCAGCACAATACAACACTGTTGTGGGGACTGGGTTTTAACGTGGGTCCTTGTTGGTCGATAATAGAGGAAGAAGAGAGGATTACTGGTACACTCTAAACAATTTCACCGTAAAATAATGGTGAAGCTACCGTAATTTACTTTTACGGTATCATACTGTATACTGGATTACGGTATGTGATGGTAGGATAACTCGGTTTTACGGTGATTTTACGGTATATGCCAGAATGTTACCGTTTATTTACAAAGGGTAATGCAACCCAATAGTTTTGCATTTCATTTCCAACAAATAAAAGAATAACAATAGACATTCAATACATAATTGTTGCAGTTGAATACATGTTCTCAAGACAAATAATAAAGGGACATTTGTATTACATCACAAAATTCACAATGTACTGCATGTTTAGAAGAAAACAAATTAAATCTTTAATGACTGGCTTAACTGAATTCATGAGGATAACCTCAGACTAGTAGCGCCGAGATCGAAAAGTGGCCGTTGGTCAGCCTATCCTAAGAGTGGTATGCTACTGTTGTTGAGTGGTAGGTACCGATCCCTGAGTGGTATGCTACTTGTTCAGCTGTAGGTACCTATCCCTGGAGTGGTATGCTACTTGTTCAGCAGTAGGTACCTATCCCTGGAGTGGTATGCTAATTGTTCAGCAGTAGGTACCTATCCCTGGAGTGGTATGCTACTTGTTCAGCTGTAGGTACCTATCCCTGGAGTGGTATGCTAMTTGTTCAGCAGTAGGTACCTATCCCTGGAGTGGTATGCTAATTGTTCAGCAGTAGGTACCTATCCCTGGAGTGGTATGCTACTGTTGTTCAGTGGTAGGTACATATCCCTGAGTTGTATATACTGTTGTTCAGTGGTAGGTAAATATCCCTGGAGTGGTATGCTACTGTTGGTCAGTGGTAGGTACCTAGACACAGTGTCAGTTCACAGCCAGAATGAAAGATACTCCATCTTACTCTTTCACTTTTACATGAATCGCCGTGATATGCATCTTTCACTTTGTTTCTGTTTCTGTAGTTACATGACATGTTACAACTGGAAAGGTGCAGATGAGGACGCATTTGAAATGTTTTTTTACATCAAATCCGAGCTCCTGCTCTGTGTTCATGGCTCAACAGGAAACATGTTGTCCTGTTGTTCTTCCACTTCGGTCTAATCTGTGATCAAGATGTTTAAAGCATGGGTACAAACCGGAGGAGGATGTCCTTCAAGTGTCTCCCTCCCAAGTTGTTTCCTCTGTCCTTTCCATCTAGAGGCTTTACTATTGTACATCATGTATGGGCTATTTTTACATGGCTTCGTGCCCGTGTGTGGGTGTGCATGTGGATGAGGGTGTTTGTGTCTGGACACTGAAAAAATAAAAAGAGAACCTCTGGTGTAGGTGCTGTTGCCGTGGTTTTTGTATCCAGGGGCAATGCACCTCACTAATAATGAAGATTGGATTCCTATTACTGATGACACGGATTTGCAGTCTAATATCCTGCTTGGTAAATGCGATGAATATGTGACCCCAATTTGCAGGCGTGAGCTGTGCATATTCATGAGGGATGGGGGAGGTGAGAGAAAAGGAGAATATGAAGTGTGTGTGTGTGTGTGTGTGTGTGTGTGTGTGTGTGTGTGTGTGTGTTTCCCAGAAGGAAGGTAACTAATAGTCAGGTGGGATGGACAAAGCACAAGCTCTCGCACGCATGTATTCTCTGCCTTCCCAACTGCCAGTGCTGTGATTGCAGGTTACAATACAGACATCCGCACTACACTAAGCTGCCAACACCCACAGTATCTGGGCATCTGCCAGGGAATGTGGCAAATAGGGCTTTTAACAGTTAATTGCTGGTTGGTTCAATGGCTCGAACAGGGCATCCACACATGCAGTTCACTGGATTGTACAGTAGAGTCCTATGATTTCTTCTTCTAGCATCTAAGCAAGTTTGACAATTTCCCTGAAAAAATCTGTGAATTTTGACAAAATAGTTTAACATCATGGTAACATGAATACATTTTGACTTCTGGCTTGTTCCGTCAGACCAAAACATGGATTGTGAGAGGTATTGTTTTAATACATTTCTGACATGTTATGGACAAATACATTAATGATAGGTATAATCAATAAATGATAGCTATCAACCAGCCATACATTACAATGAACAACCAAAACTAAAATATGTCAATGACTTTCCAGAAATTGCTGGACCATGTGCTACTGTAATAAGTGTCCCCCCCCTCTCAAATTTTAAGCCCAACTTGTTGGTTCCCCTCCCCTGCTAGATGTGCTGTTAGCAGGGTATTGTCCTCTGACTCAACCCCCTGTCATGGTCTAAAAGAGCCCCTGAGGCAAGAAGAGATGTGTGTGCCTTTTTCTGTGTGTGTGTGTGTGTGTGTGTGGGTGTGTGTGTGTGTGTGTGTGTGTGTGTATTCTTAAGTGTGTGCACTCCAGGGGCAATAATGAGCACAATTGTTTCCGCCATCTCGCTTAATCCATGCCTCTGACTTAAATGCAGCCAAGGCAAAGAGACAGGACATTTTTGGCCCTTGCTTCATGAAGCGTGTTATTTCAGTGTTCTCTGTAGACAGCTTTAATAAGATCCGATACAAGGATTTATTCGAAATGATGATAGGGCAGCGACTCCCATCCCGGGGGTTACTTGTACCCTAGTCTGATTCACCAGATGTAGACCGTGGGTATAAGTCTGCCATTAAGTATGAATCCACATATCAGCTAGTCAGCTAATAGAGGAGTCTAAACAGTTAGTTAAACATGATGAATAAACATTTCAACTAGCTAAAACGTATGGATGAACAGTTCAAATAAGTAGCTAGTAAGTATTGAAAAGGGCTGAATGGATAAACAACCTAAACGTAACGTATAAATGGTTGAAACACCCATTGCTGCCACTTATGGTAGTTAATTTGTATTAAAAGAATTGTATGTCCCTCTTTTAAATTTTTAATAGTCGTATAATGTCCAGTTCAAAACAATTTAAATGAGCATTGACAGGTGAAAGAAAAGACTTGTTACACAGATTTGGTTATAACGGAAGGGTTGCAGAAGAGATAACAATTTTTAGAAAGTGTTTGTTTGTTTCCATTGTTGACATTTGTTTCCTATGAAAAATAATGTGGGAATGTTAATCTCAAAGTACACAATCATTGAGTTGTTTTTGGCTCTTTTCTACATCCAGTTAATTTTTTTTGTTTACAGGGATGAGAAAAGAGTTTTTTTTACTTGGCAGTACGTCCTTTTTCTTTAAAGATTTCTTTATGTTTCCTCTGTATTTTTCATTAAATAATCTCACCATACAATATAGACTTTACTCTTGGACCAAAGCCAGAAACGGAATCTGATTCATAAACTGTATAACCTCGACTTGGTTTTGTCCACCTCCTCACTTCTTATCTCCATGCTGGTTTTTCCATCAGCACATGAGGCTGTGACGGGAAATTAGCAGGAGGCCAAAGTCCTGTGCACAGGGTGACTCATGCACCTGCATCAATTGTAGGGTGCCGGTTGAGAGAAAATAATAATAGTAATACATTTAAATTTTATAGCACTTTAAAAGGTACGCAAAGGCACTTTACATGGTAAAAATAGGAAACAATAAAAGCAGTTACAACATGAACAAAAGACATGACGTTACAAAATCGACCTGGAATATTTGCTTTTGTGTGTCGGTGCTTTTGTGTGCGCGCTAACAGAGCTGCATGTCTCCCTCTGACCAGGACAACCCTCTGCAGCGGCCGCTGAAGAAGTGTGCAGTGGTGGGCAACGGGGGCATTCTCCGGTACAGCAAATGTGGACGGGACATTGACCAGGCCGATTTCATCCTTCGGTGAGAAATAAGGGACTCTGCGGGCCTGTGAGTGCCCGCGTGTGCATTGTATACGACTGCTTTCGCTGCTCCTTCAAATGTGAATCGGCCGTGCCCGAGAGAGTAGCCGAACGCCATCGGTGATAATGAGAGCTGGTGTCGACTGCAGCCAAGAGGGAAAGGCAGAGACAGAAAAATGGGCCCACAGCGAGGGATGAGAGAAAAGAGGTTAGGCGTGAGTAAGCAAAAGAGGAACAGACTTAAGAGGAGGGAGGAAGAGGATAGGAGGCATAAAGCAGAATCAAACCATATAGAGCACACTCCATGCTAGATTTAAAATATATGTGAGGTGATGGGCAATGTGGTGAAGGAGAATCATTTAGTTTGAATATGACTTTTCTGTTTGACACACGTAATCAAAGAGATGCTGTTGATAAACAGCCCCATGTATACAAATACAGTTTTATTCAGATTATAGTAAAAAAAAATAAAAAAAATGCAGCAAGGCAGCATCTTCCTTCAACAACTTGCATGCTGTTCATGCCGCATGCCCTTCAATGGGTGTTGATTGACTTCTTAAATTATCTTTTATTGGCGTCTCTTCACTCCCAGAACCGTAAACATGGTTTTGTACCTATTTTTTTTCATACCAGATGACTGGTTCCTAAACTAAAGGGTTTAGTGTGTCTTTGTGCAAGTCTACTATGAGCTAAAAGTAAGAAGAAGAAAAAAGAATAATATGGAGCCGCCGATGGCTGGAAGATGCACAAAACATGTTGTCTGTTCTGCCATGAAGTTCAATTTATATCACAGCAGGCTCAGCCACAAGACACGACATGCAAAATATACCTTTTAATGTGATATTAAAACAAGCTCACTACAGTTTCTGGGTCTCTGGACAGCAGCCATGAGGGAAATCCGACCTTAAAACTGCAAAGGGGCGACCAAAAATTCTGACACGGCAGAAATCCCTCGAAACACCTCGAGCCAGATCGTTGATTGTTCAGGCAATAGTGAAGCATCCTCAAACAAAGGATGAAGGAGCCTGCAGGCCGCAGGTACTCTTCTGCTGCGAGCTTCTTACTGCGCACGCGCATCAGAAGAATGAGCTGGACCCGGTTCAAATTAAAAACAATATTTAATGTACTACACAAAGTTCACTTACAAACTGAATTAACTATCAATAGTAATGTTCTCGAGACCAGAGACCACATACACGCATCTCCTCACAGTCCGGCGCGGCCAGTTAGCTGAAAATGAGAGCTGCAGTGATCTGAGGTAAACTCCCTAAAACATTGTCTTTTGTATCCCCTGAGAGTCGGAAAGTGTCCGATACTGTCATAAAACGTGTGAATGACCCTCCGTGGCGATTAGTGATCCTCCATCGATGAGGTCGCCTCCATTTGCTGCTGCATGTCTGACACCTCACTCAGAATCCCTATCTGACCCTCAAAACTATTCTTAGTGTTTTAATACCTACAGTGACTATACTTCTATGATGTAATACATTCAATGAGTTAATATACTGTAACATATAATATCCTATGTAAGCAAGAATATTGTAAACCTATAATACATTCCATATGGAAACATATTGTGACTAACATATTTATTATTTTAACACTTCTACTCACCACTAGGGGTGTTATTAAATCCTACTAATAGACCCAACAGATAGCAGAACGGTTACTGAGATAGGTGAACCTAACCTTCACGCCGAAGCTTATCAAAATCAAATAATAATAAAAGATGCTGATGATTATCCCCGAGGGAGGACACTTTACAGTAAAGTCAAAATGGCATCAGCACACACGTGAACAAAGAGTCCTTTCTAGCTGTCCTTTTATTTCCTCTAAATTATCTTTATTGCGGAAGCTGAAGCGCTGTTTGTTGGTTAGAGAGAGAGAAAGTAAGTGAAAGTTGTTGAAATGTGTTTATTTGATCAATATAAGTATCCATCACTGGGTTTTATTACAAAGGGACATTGTCGCTCCAGTTATTGAAGATTAAAAACATGGCAACCGCTTCTCAGCCATGTCATTCCACTTTTAACGTCTCCTCTCCCGTCGTCTAATTATTAGTAATCAGATAATCAGATCTAATCAGAAGGTAATGGCTTAAATGCATCGTTTAATTGTTTATACTGTAAGTGCTTGAGCCACTAACCATTTTCAGTACAGAGTGTGTGCGAAATGTTCAATAAAGCATGTGTGTTTTGTTCATTTTAGGTGCAACCTCCCACCACTGTCAAAGGAATACGTGGAGGATGTGGGAACCAGAACTCACCTGGTCACAGCCAACCCCAGCATCATAGAGAAAAGGTGATCAGTCAGAATCAATAAAACATGCATCATAAAGAGATATTGATCACTTTCAGAAGAGAGGGCATGTAAGCACGGCGTAGGTGTGAGCGTCCTAGCATACTATAGGCTATTTACGTTGTGGCATCAGTATGGTGATCTCAGGATATTTAAAAAAAAATAACAATTCAAACTTCATATGGCACTTAAGAAGTCGAGTTTACAAATGTAATTAATTGGAAATTGAAATATGCATTGTCCAAGACGAGCATATTTCAACAACAAGACAATTCATGAGACATGAAAAGGCGTTAAGATATAAAAGAAACACAAGGCATTATAAACATACACACATGAATTGGATTAAAAGAGTGAAATATAATAATAATTCCCTCTCCGACTGTTCAATCTAAACTGTAAAACATCTGTTTCTGCAAATGATGTAATGTTAAACTTCGTCTTTAGTTAGTGGGTAAGTGCCTGAATCCCCCATTGTGTTCCTGTAGTGGTACAACACAGGAAACTGATTTCCTCTCTAGACAGGAAGAAAGGGAGCAGACAGCTCCACAGATGAGTCAACCAGTCGTCAGGTCATGAGTGACTCCACATTCACAATAACTCCCGATCTCCCTCCTTATCACTCTGTCTCTCAGATTTCAGAACCTCCTATGGTCGAGAAAAGGTTTTGTGGACAGTATGAAGGTCTACGGCTCCAGCTACATCTACATGCCAGCGTTCTCCATGAAGACGGGCACCGACCCGTCACTGCGGGCGCATTACGCCCTGGCGGACACCTCCTCCAACCTCACCATGCTCTTCGCCAACCCCGAATTCCTGCGCACGGTGGGAAAATTCTGGAAAGCCCACGGCGTGCACGCCACACGCCTCTCCACGGGGCTCTTCCTGGTCAGCCTGGCCCTGGGGCTGTGCGAGGAGGTGACGGTCTACGGCTTCTGGCCGTTTTCCGTCAGCCTGGACGAGCAGCCGGTCAGCCACCATTACTACGACAACATCCTGCCCGACAAGTGGTACCACGCCATGCCCGAGGAGTTTGTCCAGCTTTGGCACCTGCACAAAAGCGGCACGTTGCGCACGAGAGTGGGACGCTGCTCCTCTCCGAAAGGAGGGAGTTAGAGCGTCCTGATGAGTGAAGCGAGGGCGGCCAGTTGAAGTTAAGTGGGCTGCAGGAAGCAGATGAAAACATTTGGCGGAAAGTTGTCACGATGACAAAAAAAATGTGTGCGCGTATTTGCCTTGAGGAACCTCGGTACTGCATCTTTGTCCATACACACTCCTGCTGTCCCGCCAGCTAATCCCTAATTAACATGAGAATGTCCTCCACCCAGTCCAGCTGCACCAGGGACAGGATACACACTTGCAGCCAAACACACACACACACAGTACCAAATCTTGCCATGTCTCTTTCCCTCGTTTCTGAAAGTGTGTATGTGTGTGTGTGTGTGTGTGTGTGTGTGTGTGTGTGTGTGTGTGTGTGTGTGTATGTATGTGTGTGTGTGTGTGTGTGTATGT